TTAGATTGAGTTTTATACAGGTTTCTTTATGTCTGTCTGGGTGTTCCTGAAGGCTTTGTGCCCTCTCACCTGTGCTCTTAATGTGTTACATAAGAATAGGAGAACCTTACCTTAAACATGTGCAGGAGACACCCACTGCAGTAGCTTGTGCCAGGTCTAGAGGGCAGAGTTAAGATCTTTTTGGAGCTGGTGACTATTTTAGTGATGATACCATTTCGGTTTTGGGTTCTTTCCAAGAAGTTCAGCTGGGATGCAGTGAAAGTTCTAGAAGAATACAACCCATCGAAACATATCTCTGCAGCTACTAGCAAATTATTACTTCATAATTTTAATTGACTTAGAAATGCTAATTTAATTACAGTGTGTCATGGTATACATCTTTAAACATAAGGCAGTGTCTTGACAGACAGGTTCTGGAAAATCTTGTAGCAGATTCATTGAACATATCCAGCTATGTTCCTCTGTCAGAGGTTATTAACCCCCCAGCATAATTAATTAGTACAGGATGAAGGTCTACACTTCAACACAGAAATACTTCAGGGCAAGGCTTGTACCTGGCCTTATGCTGATGATGAGCAGCGTGTTTTAAAGTATATGTTTTTGCTCTCTCAGTGTCAAAGTGGATTGTTTTTAATGTGTTTTATAGACTCATGGGAGTACGTGTGGTGCTCTTGCTCAAGGGATTTATTTAATTTATTTTTACTGTCTCTACCACTTGTGTAATTAGTATACACAGACATTTGTCCCATAACATTCAAATCCTGTCATGGCTCTCTGCTCAGTATCTTTTATTGGACTACAGGTGCATTCTTTACTCTTCCATTTTAATTACCAGAAGTTTTTTTTCTCCCTGCAGGAGCTGGGACTCCCACATTACTGGAGATTTTTTTTTTTCTTTAGAAATTAGGGCTCTTGAGTTTTCCTTGTTAGTCTATCCAAAAGCCTTACTATTGTATGGTGTTTGTATTTCACTCTATTGTTGCTTTTTCCAGCTTCTCCACTAAGTTCTCACACACCAAAACATCAGGCTACTAGTAATTAGAAATGTGCATATAAAAATTTGCATTTGGATATTTGTGTTTTCCACGTTGCCTCTGAACATTTTTTGAAAGTATCTCCTCACTTGTGAAAGTGTCGTTCGTAACACTTTCAGAACCTGGATTTGAGGTTCAATAAGGGTAGCAGTGCTGTGATACTCTGATGCCAAACTTGCTCCGGTTCAGACAAGTTACAGGTCTTGTAAAATACATTTTATTTTGCTCATGCTCAACTCAGCTGCTAACCTGCTAAAATTATTTATTACTGTATTACTGAAAAAAATATTTATTGCTGTATTACTGAAACAGCTTGTGTCATTAGGTAATGTCAGACCCAGGGCTGTCTAAATGAAGAAGGTTTCCCTTTCCCTGTCTTCTGGTGAGGTAGTTGCATGACTAACTGCCATGGAGAGCAACGGAGGGAAGACGAGGAAAAGGGTTACAGAGCATGGAAAATTCAGGAAGGAGAAGTAGAGAAGAAAGCAGTTAAGGGCAGATAATTTTGACAGTAATTAGAGGAAGGACCGAAGTCATGTAGACATAATATTGAAGAAGGGAGTGAGAGGAGTCGTGGCTTAGATAACTGGCTCTGTGGTTGGGCCATGTTGATACTGAAGGTGAGACTGCAGAGCTCAAGCTGATAAGATCTGCTGGATGATTTAAGTTTAATGCTCCTTCTAGTGGCAGGAGAAGGAAAAAGTGATGAAAGGTGCTTGCAGTGGAGGATTAGCACAAGAGGTTAGTGCCCCTGGATGAAGATGGGGCAATGATTTCCCTCTGGGAGTGGAGAAAGATGTATATGTAGGCAGAAGAGCAGCACTGAGGCCTGATTATTAAAAAGGAGGCTGTTATTGTCAATGGTCTGTATGTGGGCAAATCAAATGCAGCTGACAGTTGCTAAAGGATGTCTCTTCATGGAGTCTGGAGTGAGAATGACAATTCTGGAGTCTTGTAACTTCTCCTGCCGTAATGTGTCTCATTGCCTTCTGAGGGGATAGTCCTCAGACGGAATGGGGGCCTGTTCTTTCCAATAGCTTCTTGCTCCATCTGCTTCAGGGATAAAGCTTTGTGTTGTAGACTTATGGATTTGAGTCCAGCTGTTCCCCATATTGTGCGGGCTGAAATTCAGTTGTTATTAGCTTTTTCTAAATATTTTTTTGGCTTTTAAAAAAGTTATTTTAAAGCACAGATTTTAAAAATTGATCTTGTGAAGTAAGAAACTCATAGAACAGAGATTGTGTGAACAAAGTGACTGTAAATGTGTTATAGTATGATCAGTCTGGTTTTTGTTGTGTGGCTCGAAATGTTCTTTTATTCACAGATGTCACTAGATGTAGAAATAATAAGATACAGTCTTTGAACTCAATGCGTTTTAGAGTTGCTTTGGTGTAATTTTCATCATATCTCATTCATGAAAAGCTGCACGTTACATGTGGTTCAGGAACTTGGCTTTCAGCTGTGCAGTTTGTGTAAGTTGTGCCCTTATTTATCACATGACCTTGAAATATCACTGTAGGCTCTCATGACTTCAGGCCTTAATTTTTGTAATTCCATTTTCGTTGGATTAATGATGAGGCTAATCTGCTGCTTGCAGCTTGTTCAGACTGCAGCAGTGCACTTATTTATGGGTTTCAGCTACCCTCATCGCATTCAGCTTGCTTTCTGTTTTTTATGTTACTACTTATTACATGTTGTAATGTTTAAGTTAGTTTATGTATAAAGGTCTGAATGGGCATGCGTTGGTTACATTTAAAGATTCTATTTTATTTTTTTTTCCTGTTAAACTGAACTAATTTTTCAGATTTTGCTGCAAGACTTAGAAAAGTCTGTGGATTAGATCATATGAATATAGATGTCTGCATATAGGTGTCTGTGTCATGTAGGTCTTAAGCCGTCATTAAAATTGAAAGAGCGTAGAGAATGATCCAGGTGACTAGCCATTTAGTTGCTGAGAAGTAAACGGCTGGTGTTAGTTGAGAAGCACTAGGGTGTCCTAGATGTCTCCTTAGGACTAGTACATAGAACATGATCTTTGAGACACCCAGTCCTTTTGGACTGTCACCTGGAGTTCGGGTGGGTATTCTAGAGCATATTAGATGTCACTTATACCTGTGTTCAAAAATTGAATTAAGCCCTAGGTATTTACTTTGAAATAAGATTAATTGCTGTCCACGTTCCGTATCCTGCTCGCTAGATCTCCATTGGCTTTAATGAGACTTTTGATACAATCTTGTATGTCAGCATCTTCATTTAGGTGTCCTATTTTGGATCTGAATCCTACCTGTGAGGTCTTTCATCCATGTGATTTTTGATAATGCCCCAAACCTTGTCTTAAGACTGACTGAATGTTCTAATCAAAATTTTATTAGTCTTAAATCCCTGGGATGCTGGAGTGTTTCAGTTCCAGGTCATTAAACTTTTTCAAAACTCAGAATCTTTTTAAAATGCAGCCATTATTTATGGCATCAAACTTCAGCAGTTTTACAGTGATATCTTTGTGTATGTTTTGCCTCATGGAACTCAAAATAATGTATGTTGCTCTTCCATTCCTTAAAGAGAAAAAGGCATATTTGTATAGTATCTTTGGCCAATTTAAAGGAAAACTGGTATGCATCTAAATATGTTTTAGTTACATAAATTGTGTGGAGATTGTGTGCTAAGAATCATATCTGTTAAATTCTGTTTTGGAGTGTCTCTCTTTGGCAAGTTTCTAAGAATGGGTGGTATGTTTGCCAAGCATTTTTGTCCTGTTACTAGTTTGGGAAAGTCTCTTCTAATTTCAGAATTTTTTTTATCTGCATAACTTTGAATTAAACTTGTAATTTAAACCTTCAGATACTCTTAGTTCTGTTATCCCCCCTCCTCCCATAGTCTGTGCAAATAGCTCAAGTGCAGAACACAGTTTTGAAGATTGGCTTTGAGTTGACATATGTTTAAAACCTTTGAAAGCTTTTCTGACTAATTAAAAATAGGAAATCTAGGAGAACATGGTTATAGGTTTAGTATGCCTGCAGTGTTTGCCACCAAGCTAATGGTATTTACCTGATGATAATTTTAGCCTTTTTTATTAAAATAATGAAATAACTTTTAAATGTACCTTGTACATACCAGGTACTTCTCACCATAACTGTCAGAGAGCTGTCTTCAGGGAGAAATAACATCCTAATCCCCACACCTTGCAGTGGTTTAGCCCCAAGGACGTGGGCACTGCATGTGGTCAGAGTACCTGAGGGATTTTTCAGAACCACTGTGAGCGCAAGAACATCCCACATGGCCATTTGAACTGTTAGTTTCCCCCACTTCCAAACCAAGTCCTACTCCTACAGGATGGAAGGAAAGGAGAAAGCTTTTTGCATTTTGCCAGTGCCTAGGAGAAGCCCTGAAGCATGGGTTTGACAAAAGGACTTACGGGAGCAGAAAATGGACGAAATGCCTGTATCACTCAAAAATGTTCTCAGCAGAACTTCTTAAAAGTAGAAATTATCTCACTTTTATTGTCAAGTTTAACTCTGCAATGTTTATCATGTTTGCCTATCTCTGTATTGAGTGCAGAGAAAGAGAAGATGAACTCGTGCTTAATGGGTTGTTAGCCTTTAATATTTCGATGTAACTTCATGCGGTCTTTCTTTCAACTTAGCAATTTTGATGGAATTCCTTGCTAGTAGTGCATAGTAAGATTACTGAGAAAAGAAATGTGTGTTTAGTTTCTGTACAGCTCTTCCATACTTTGTTTCTCCCTCATAGGCTGTGATGGTAGAAGTGAATATGAGAATAGTTAAGTCAAATGTAGGCCTACATATGGGGTGTAATGCTGTAGTTTGTATGTTCTTTTTTGCATTATCCTTTACTGGTTTAAATACGATAAAGGATATTTTGTTAAATTATCTCCTGTGGTAAATGGTAGAGCTTTTCTTTAAGCCTGTGCTAGAAATAATGTCAAATGAAAAAATATTTTTTTATCAGATATGATTATATGAAAACACATCCTTCTGAGAAAATGCATCTAGCAGTGGTTGCCTGTGGTGAAAGACTGGAGGAGACTGTTACTATGTTGAGATCGGCCATAATTTTCAGCATCAAAACTCTCCAGTTTCATATTTTTGCAGAGGACCAATTGCATGAGAGTTTCAAAGACATAGTAAGTACCCAAATAGTTTATTTTATCAATTTGTGGCATAGTTTGAGTAATATACAGCAATTTCTCTGCTTCTTGGTTAGTAGTTGTTGGATATAGTTGCAGAAAGGAAAGGGTCTAAAAATAAGGCAATATGCAAGTCTTTCATAATGTTGGATGGGGATTTTTGGTTTTTCTTTTTTTCCTGTGGAAAAATGCTAGTTGCTGATATCAAAGCTTTTCATAGAGACAGACCAATACTTACTCATTTGTCACCTTGAATCAGTTAAATACAAACCTGATGTTCTGAAGACAAACCAGTTATCTTGTGTGGTCTTATTTAAAGTTGGTTTTGCAGGAGAAAATTTAAATTTCTCATTTTTTTGTCCCTGTTTTTACAGTATGAGTCAGCCTTACATTGTCTAAACAAAGTGGAACATCAGTCTTTGAAAATGATAGATGTGATTGTGTCTAACTTTAGTAAATTCCAGTTAATGAATATAACTTTACAACTGGAGTGTCAGTATTAGAAGCTGACTAGTATATAGCTGTGAAGATTTTTACTATTTTTGTGCTCAAAATGTCATACTAACTATGACAGGAGTATGTTATACATACTAATATATATACGCTAATGTCATGCAAACTGGAACAGTGGCAAAAAATGGGTAAAGTTATTTTACATTGAGAAAGACTTCATTGGTATTTCTCCTACGGAAACTAGTTAAGGGAAAAATTTTATTTGACATATTTACTTTTTGTAAACACTAGTTTATTTTACTTGCTCTTACTTTTGTATGTGACCTGATATGATGTGTTTTCTTCATAGTGGCCTGCAGGTGCCACTTTTTGTTCAAGTATTTTGAGTAGTTGACAGATTCTTGTAGTTAAGGAAGGATTTCTGTTATGGGAGAGAGGTGTTGCATTTGTGTTCAATTATCAATTTGAATGGGGGGATTGATTTCTTTTTTGTAATAGAAGTGAACTGATGTAATTTTTGTGGTTTCTTCCTTTCATATAGCTTGATGACTTCCCCTTTAAAGGAAAAGTTAATTACACATTATATCCAATAACATTTCCAACTGAGAGTGCAACAGAATGGAAGAAATTGTTTAAACCATGTGCTTCACAAAGGCTGTTTTTACCAGTAAGTTATTCTGTAATGGGACAATACAGAAGTCTCTATGAAGCATCAAGCTGTCCTTTTAAATCTAGTTTCTGCTTAGTTTTGAGTTAAGAACTACTACTACTACTACTCCTAAAAGTTACTTTTACAACATCCTAAAAAACCTTTGAATTTAACCTTCTTCTGTGGCACCACTACACTATGGAATAAAAGTCCTTTTCTCACTTGCTGCATTGTGGCACAGTATCTTCAGTGAGAGGTACAGGTCATGTCATCCTCTCAGAGGTAAGAAAGGTTTATAATACCTTATTTCCTCATTTAGTTGGAAAGCTTCCTGCGTGCATGGGTCTGAGAAGTGTTAGAAAATGAAACAAGAAATGGGTTATTGTTGCCAGACTGTTTTGTGCAGCCTTTCGTTTGCTGATCTAGGACGCTTCAGAAATCATACTCAGGCTAGGCGAATTATTGCAGTGTCAGCTATTTCCCAAATACTAGTAGTCTTCTCTGGGGCTGCCTTACACCTCTCCCTTGTTTGATTAGATGCATAGGAAAGCAAGGGAACAAACAGCAGGAAGATAGGAGCTCCTGTTATGGTAATGTTTCACCTGTCCTGCAACCTACTGAGGAGCCCAGGGATATAAAATGTAAACTGAGTGCCTTTGCATTACTGTTCTATATAAAACCTCTGTTTCACTCTAAAAAACTCTCCAAAATGATGGAAGAGGGAATGATGACAAATTCATTGACTGTAAATTCTCAGTCTAAAGTGAACGTGTTTGTGTATGACAAAAATGTCTTAAACTTTGTTGTGTAATGGCAGCAAGTTTGTTTTGTGAAAAGAAGCTCAATAAAACTTAGAAGTTTGGTTTTAAACTTCTTTCCCTCACAGTTAATCCTCAAAAATGTGGATTCACTACTGTATGTTGATACGGACATCCTGTTTTTGAGACCTGTTGATGATATTTGGTCTTTTCTGGGAAAGTTCAATTCCACACAAATTGCTGCAATGGCACCAGAACATGAAGAGCCTCGTATTGGATGGTATAATCGCTTTGCTAGACATCCCTATTATGGAGTAACTGGAATAAATTCTGGAGTCATGTTAATGAATATGACACGTATCAGAAGAAAGTATTTCAAGGTATGTCTGTTGCCTTTATTGCATTTTCTGTGGTTTTACATCTTTTAATTCTAATCTTGTTTCAAGTTCATGTGGGACAGTATTTTTCAAAATATTTTTCTTGTGGTTGGATTAATGCTCTAAAAATAAGCTGAGTTTAAAATGGTATCTAATTTGTGTCTTTTAAATGTCACTCACTGTAAAGCTTGGAATTCCTGAATTTTATGTCGGCTTGATTTAATTTTTCTTAGTTCTGAGAGATCCTGTGACTTGATACAGTCTGCTCTAAATTACATTTGTCAGTAGATATTCTGGTATTTTTTCTCCACTGTAGAGATCCCAGAAAACAGTTAAGGTATGCTTTAAACTAACTTCAAATTGTGTTTAGTGGTATGACCAGGAGATGGTGCTAAAACATTTATTAAGTTATTTTAACTGTACCGTTACTAGATTTTGATCTTTTAAATTGTAACCAGATGATTATCACCATAAGTATCCTTTGCTTTACTTGGAAGTCATAGTTTTTGTAGAGAAAAAAGTTAATCATAAAAGTACTTACTAAAGCAGTGCATGCAACAGCAGAAATGGTCATTGTTTCACAGATGGGAAGTTTTTTCTTACGTACTTGAAACAAGTACAAAAGCAGTCCTATCTGATTATACTAGAGGAAAAAGTATTTCTCTGTTTAAGAGAAGTTTTATTAGGCAAAAATAATCATGCAGTCAAAAACTGTTAGAAGGTGAACCCATAAGAGGGACAATATAAACTTGAAGTAGACATTAATACTTCTCTCCTATTTTCAATTTAAGAAAGATTTATCTTTCATCTTAACATTCTTGTTATGTATTTTTGTAATGGAAATACAGAGAAATTAAAATACTGAAAAGTGTAGCAAAAAAAGTATGGGACTGAAAAATGCATGTGTCTTAACCTCTGACAGTGCATTTCTGTGTAGTGTATTGTTTTTACTGTGGTAATCTCTGAGATAAGGTTGGTCTTTTATTCATACTGTGTGAGAATTCTGGTTGGGTTTCTCACGACAGCTTAGGTTATCAATTTAGTGTAAACCTTATGCATTTTTACTAAAATTGGAGTTAAAACTTTTAAAAGTATACAGATTATGTAGGATACTAAAATTGTCTTTGAGTTTTAACTGCAGTTTTCTAGAGGACAATTGGGCATTCATTCTAGGTGTTTTGTCTCTGTTATTCTGTGTTTCTGGGAAGTGTAGTCATAGAATCATTTACGCTAGAAAAAACCTTTAAGATCGTTGGTCTAACAATAAACCTAACACTGCTAAGTCTACCACTAAACCATGTTCCTAAGCACCACATCTAAACATCTTTTAAAGATACTTCCAGGGATTGAGACTCAGTCACTTCCCTAGGCAGCCTGTTCGAAAGCTTGACAACCCTTTCAGTGAAGAAATTTTTCCTAAGATCCAACTTAAACCTACCCTGGTACAAATTCAGGCCGTTTCCTCTCATCCTATCACTTGTTAGTTGGAAGAAGAGGCTGACCCCCACCTTGCTACAACCTCCTTTCAGATAGTTGTAGAGAGTGATAAGGTCTCCCATCAGCCTCCTTTTCTCCAGGCTAAACAACCCCAGTTCCCTCAGCCACTCCTTGTAAGACTTGTTCTCTAGACTTTTAATGAGCTTCGCTGCTCTTCTTTGGACTTGCTCCAGCACCTCAATGTCCTTCTGGTGGTGAGGGGCCCAAAACTGAATATAGTATGTTTGCTATCTGTTCAGACTTTGAGTTTGTAGAGATAGATACTTTCTTCAGTGTGAATGGCTTGCTAAGACTCCACATTAGACCTTATTGCCAGTGGCCAGCATACTTATCAGTGGAGGTATTTTGGTATTGGAAGGCTTAGAATTGTTTCTGACTGGAGACTACCTCATGATTTCTAACCAGTGCTGCTGACTTAGTTGTTCCAACTATTAGACGCGGTGGGGAAGCGTCTTATAGTGTCAGGCTTGGTGGTGATATGCTCAGCCCAGACAGAACAGTTTGATGATGTCTAATCAGAGAGTTGCTAGGTTACCTGAAACTAAGGAATTATAGTGCTTGGTCATTTTCCTCTCACATAGCTAGATAG